GAATGGTAAAGATTGCACCCTGCATCTTCTGACCTTCTTTCCCTTTGTAGATCTCTTCCAGTTCAAGTCACATTAAAATCATGGGCGTTTCATGCTTTGGGAAAATGTGTCTTGCTGGCACTTAGTCTGTACTACCCGAGATACTACACCTGAGATATTGCCAGCCATTTGTCATCTTCATTTGCTGTGATTTCATTATCATATGACAAATGACAGCATTGAATGGCAGTCTATTTTGACAGCAATGTGTAAGAACATATTTTACACTGAAAAAAAGCACCTTTTTGTGGAATAATGGTGTAATGCCTATTCATTGTCCCATTGAAAGCTGATTTCTACTGAGCTCAAATGTATCAGGCCATATTTCTCTGTAGTTGTGGAGGTGATTCTTGGGAGCTAAGGCCTTATATGTGACATGATGACTAGGCTCTGTGTAGTGTTTATGCTAGTATTACTAAGAAATTCCTTGGGAATCACCTAGAGGGACTTTTTGGCATTCTTTTTGGTAATCATTGATGTTTGTTTGTGAGGATATAGGACATATTAACATCTTCGCTTATTAATTAGATTTTAGACACTTCTCTAACAGCAAAAGGCAACCACAGAATGGTTACCAGTGAGGCATTGTTAATTTGAATGTATTTTTCAAAAGGAGGGAGGCATTTCAGTGAAATCGGAATGACAGTTCTGTTTCAGCATCCTCATCCTAGAAGAGACAAACCCTTCAGAACTGTCAGCAGCACCTTAGCTTTTAGCAAGCCTGCAATATCCCAAAGCCAAAGTGATGACAGGTGCTTTGGAGACCAAAATGTGCTTGTGCTGTAAATGTTTGCCTGAAGGTAAAAGCGTTGTGCTTTACTCCATTGCTGTGGAATACAGTTGAAATAGTCCAAGAACAGCCTGTAATATTTCTAAAGCATTAGTGGGTATTAGAATGTAAGACAGAGAATATCAGGCAGATAAGCAAAGGTATTTTAGAGGGATGGCTGCTGCTAGTTTTAGTTAAAACATGAAGTCCTGAAGTTTGATGCTATTCCTGCCATAATACTATGGCTCCACTGAAGAGCTCTTTTTATGGTTAAGGACCATATTTTTGTTGGTGGATTATAGAAAGGCAAAGAGGTAAAAGATGCACAGGGGCTGCTGGGGACAAGCACGACAATAATGATTGAGAGTTTGTACAGAGTCGTGCCTGTGAAGGTTTTAATATACATTGGCCAAACGTTCGCTCCCTGTGGCTCTCTCTAGTAGCCCCAGCAGACCAATTTCTACTTTTACATGACTGTTGCTTTCCAAGTCTGCTTGTACCCTTGCAGGAGCCTCGCAGCTCCTGTTGCCTTGTTACTATTCTCGTCCACCTGTGGGGAGTCACCATCTCCATTTTAAAAACCTGAAGCTGCAATGAAGGCCATTATACAAATGTATGAATTTGATGTGCCCGAACCTCTGAAAGGTTCATAGGAGCAATTGACTGTACCTCATATTAACATAAGCACTTTATCTCCCCGTAGTGAAATACCCTTTCACTACTATGTATTTTCCAAAGAAACTAAGTAGAGAAATGTTGCATGCAAAGAGAGTGTTTCACTGCTCCTTTAAATCCTGTCAGGTTCACTTTGTAGGTATAGTAGTGCCTCAGAATCCAGAGGTGTATTTTTGATGTTTAAAGGTGGCTTACTTGAAGTTGCAGGATCAAATTCTGCTCTGACACATGGCTGTAGAAATGACAGTCATGGAAATTTACTGGTAGAATCGGTTATTAAGAGAATAAAACTAGAGAGTGGATACAGATGGTGTTATCTTCTAAATGAGTGATTTCCAAACCCTTTCATGTGCTCTGCCTCCTGGAGTACAAGGCCTCCCCTTAGTGTGAAGACTGAGAAGGCAAAATGAAAATAATCTTAGGTGTAATTTTATGTAATGACACACATCTCATCAATATCATTATACTCTCTTTTTCTTTTTTGTCTAAGCAAATCTTCTGATTATTTGTAAGAATGCAGTTTTATTGTTTACAGCCCCATTTGTTATTTAGGAGCTCTGTTAGCAGAAGCTGATCTATAGTAAGTGATGAGGGAAGACTGCTCCATCAAAGATGCAATGTAGCAAAAAAGAAAAGGTGGCTTTAACTTTGGATATTTTTGTTAAATTCAACTTTTTAAATAAATACAATTAAAAATGGTAAGAAGCTGCTCAGCTTTGGGCTAACTGCTATTTTGTCAAAGATGTGGAGCACTATTACCCTCACAGTCAGTGACGCACTGGAGTGATCAGGAGAATTGCATATTTTACAAGTTACTCTCTACAGTCTCAGTTGAAGCCATATCCTCAGCGTTGTTTTCTTCCTTGTTTGCAGATTGGAGACAGAGTCATGGCTTTTGTAAACTACAATGCATGGGCTGAAGTAGTGTGTACTCCAGTAGAATTTGTCTACAAGATCCCAGATGACATGAGTTTTTCTGAAGCTGCTGCGTTTCCCATGAACTTTGTAACTGCCTACATGATGCTCTTTGAAGTTGCCAACCTAAGAGAAGGCATGTCTGTGCTGGTTCACTCGGCAGGAGGTGGGGTGGTAAGTTAGAACTTTTGCTTACTTTCCTGTCACCCAGTAACTGAAGCAGCCTACATCTTGATTTCTGAAATGAGCCAAATCTTGCAGTTTGATTTGATATCAGACTTCCCTATGTGAGGGATTGTCGTGGGAGGAACTGCATCTGTTTTCCCATCGAAATGCTGATGTGAATGGTTGGCAGGAGCTGTTGGTTAAATTAAAAATGTTCTGACAATGAACTCTACTCATAAACCCTAATTGGTTGTCAGAGATCAAGGAGCAAGTGTTGTCCAAACGTTGTATTCCTGAACTTATGCACCTTGTACTGCTTCTATGTAAAAGAAGGCTATAATGAAAGGAGTAAATAAATCACCTCCCTGTACATGGTATTTGTAGGTAACTATAATTCTCCTTGTAGTAAATGGCCCTCTTGGAATACTCCTGCAAATACCGTGTGTGAGTGTGTGTGATGCTTTCTCTGTGAAAGACTTTCTGTTGTTGTAGAGTGACTGAAAGTAATGAAAAGCATTATCATGCCAACGCTGAGAAAAATATACAAATGCTGAATTGGAGTCAGTGGTGGCTGCTGCATGTCATAGTTTGGATCATTAGGGAGAAAATGATGTGTTGCATGGGGAAAGCAACAGCAGGATGAATTTAGTGGAATACAAGACCACACAATGAAATAAGTCAGCATTTTGTGTTACCAGTTCCTTGAATTACCTTTTAGGAAAATCTCTCTCCTTTGGAAAATATTTAAGCTTGTGCGAAATATTAAGGTAATGACAGGGGAGTTTGTTTACATTTAAAATTATGCAGTACTTTTCTAACTATAGATTTTACAACCTGAGAATGTTAGCAGATCTCAGCCTTTTGAATTAGAGTACCTCTTCTGTTTTCCTGTTATGCTGTATTTATGCTAAACTAATATTCTGTCATCTACTGAGGTCTGGTGGGCAGCCCCAAACACCTTATCCCTAATTCTAAGCTCTTAGACCTTCTTTCAGGTTCTCATATAAAAGAAGGCTGTAATCAAAGGAATAAATTCATGAGTTCCCTGTACAAGGCATTTTTAGTTAACGGTAATCCTCTTGGAATACTTCTGTAAATGAGTGGAATTTATAATCGTATTATGGTTTGGCACAGTACAACCTAGAGCGTTATGGCTGACTTTATTGTTCTTTAATATTAAATCTTTTCATGTGGAATTCAGGACTGTTATAGCAACATGAGGCCACACATTCAGGGGAATGTATATTCTACAGGAATCAAAGGCTCAGCTTTAGGTGTAAGCCATGCCCAGCTGACATTATACAGACCCAGGCTGAGCATATGGAATTAGCAAAATACCCAAAAGCAATCCCCGAGTTTATGCATGTGTCTAGCAAAAGTGAACTCCTCCTCATTAAGATTAAGCGTCCTCACTAAATTTCTTTATTTCTTCTTCTCTTCCTCTTTCTAATCTTGCTCGCCTCTGTTATTTCTTCCTTCTCTTCATGAAGCACTGCTAATGCTCTACCAGCTCACATGTAGTCTTCTTCACTAATGCCCAACCTCTGCGCTGGGCTGTTGCTGTAAGGAGCTGCTGGTGTCCTCTCTTATCGCAGATGCTCAGTGAGCAGCTTTTGACTGGTCCTCTGCTGTGGCTGCTTGTGGACCTTCTCTGAGAGAAGCTAAAGGAAAGATGGGTCCTGGTTGGCTGCCAGGAGAGCAAGGAGAAGCCAGATCCATCACCTGCTGAGTAGTTAAGTAGAACAGAGTTTCCACGGGAAAGACCAGAGATGCAGGCAGAACAGCTAGCTTGGCCAGGAACTGGTGAAGGTCTGTGTCTGATCCAGGGGGCTGTACCTAAGAGGGAGACAGGACTGCCTGGCCTGCAAGACAGGCAGCTGGTCGCTGTGTCACAGGACAGAGGGCCTTATGCAGCCTGTTCCTAGTGAAGGAAGAGCATGTGTAGCTAGAATTGGAAAGGAAAGACTTTTCCCAATGCTTGATATGTCTTACAGATAAAATACCACTCTGGAGACGCATGGAATTTTTTCTTTTCTGCTAACTAGATGAAGATTTCAGTGGGGTCTGTGTTATACTTTAAACTGCTCTAATAATCTGTCTGTTAATCCCCTGAAAAATTTAACAGCCTCACTCTCACAAAGTTCGTAGTTAATAAAATAGAAAACTGGCACTGCAATCACTATGGGAAGAGGTATTTTTTGTCCTGTTGCTTTAATAGATAGAAGAACCATTTCCATTTTCAGCAAGTGGGAAACCTGTCCAGTTTGTTTTGAAATGTCATAGAAATTCCAGAATACTCTAATGAGACAATAGACTCCCTGTGGGACTAAAAGTTTGTAATTGTTCCTTGCTCATTATGCAAGATCATTATTTTAGCTGCTTCGGACAGTTTATGAAAAAGAACTTGTTGCTTCAAAAATGTTTGTGAGGTTCTTTGTTCTGGCCCCCCAGTCTCCTCCAGGAGGATCCTGCAGCTTTTTCAATAAATTCAGTTGGGGGAAATCCTCTAGTTCCTTTACTTATGTATTGCTTCAGTTTATTTATGTGACCTTATTTTTTTTTAGAGAGATTTTTGGTAGTAAGGTAACTACAGCAATTGTCTTCCCATCCATGCCTGGGGTATGACTGGAGCGTGACGGTATCCTTTAATGTCTGACAGGATGCTTTAGATAAGTCCTTCCTTCCAGAAGTTCCAGGGGACATCAGAAGATGGTGTAGAGAAAAGCTATCTTGGTACAATTCGTTTATCTCGAAAAAGTCTCACGTACCTGTCTCTCTGTTACAGAGACGTGAATCCAGTTCCATATACCAAATGAGTACCCACACTGCCACCCCCTCAGCCAAAAGGTCAGGGCATCATGCGATCTCTCTGGTTCATGGTGGGAATCATGGCTAGGTGCAGGGAAGCACCTTGTCTCTCCTAACCAGGAAAGAGATGGACACTCACCAACTCCGCTTCTGATGCTGTTGGTATATTGTAGCCTTCCATCTGAAGAGGAGGACCTGCTGCAGTGCTTAGAAAAGGGGTTTGAGAGGCGAGATAGTATTTGCTTTTGTTTCTTAGGGCTGATTGTTGATTTTGATTGTTTGGAAGTGGGGCTGCTTTGTGGCTTGGTTTTGCTGTTGCTCTCTCCCCCTTGAGACAGGGACAGTTAAGAGAGACTGACTCTTATCTCTCAGTCTGGACGGTGAAGTAGGCTGGAGAAATTTCAGGGACCTTCTAGGGAAGCTTGATACACGCTCACAGTTGCTTGTATGATTCAGTCGGACTTTGATGAGAAATTAATAGCTTGCAGAGCATTCTGTTATCTTTGCTCGAGCTGCTACTGACCAAGGTGTAGCAAGGACAGTGGCTGTCATATGTTCCCTTCCAGGCCTCTGGCAGGATGCTTAACATTTCTGCTTTAACTGTTATATTAACTAGCTGTTCGATAATTAACAGAAGATAGAATTACAAATACAGTTAAAATGCTTAAAGCTATGGAAATGTTTGCATCCTTCTAAACTGATTAGTAAAATAAGGAGATAAGTCAGGTAAAACTGAACTGGACTTGAAAAACTGCCTTTTTCCATACATAGAAGTTAATACTTGGACATACGATTTTGCAAGAACGTATGACTTACTGTAGGACAGACATTGGTCTATCTGAAATATAAAATGCTGTAATTAATGTTTGAAATGACTGCAAGACAATGGTAGAATAGCTCCCTTCACAAATACACTCCCATGTCTTTTTTTTTTTTTCCCTCAAGGCAAGGCCGCAACTGAAGAAAATACACTGAGAAAACTGAGCAGTAGCGTGTACCCCACTGGGACACATCTGCTGTATGCAGTAATTAGTTCTTTAAAATGAAGACTGTTTAAGTCAGTGCATTCAGTGCGAGTCACAGCACAGGCTTGTATGAGTTTGTAAAGTTGCTCTTAAAATTACTCATGTAAGCTTATAAACTGTATCATGGATTAGTTGAATTAGTATAAATACAGGTCTATTGTATTACAAAAAAAAAACCAGAAAGGCAAAACCGCAGAACTTAGGCTCTTCTCTTAGCTTTAATAAATCTAGTGTCTATGATATCTATCTGGAAAATTAATTCTTTCAGGGATTTAGATTTGTGAGAGACAGCCATTAAGCCCATTTGTTTGCTCTTTATATACTTCCTATTGTAAATATTTAGAGCACAAAACTGATCATTTAGGAAGATTGTGTAAACACTTCAATTTCATCACTTAACCCCTCAGACACAAGGCAGAATTATTAGCCAATTCTTTAGCCTTTCGATCTTACAGATGCTAAAATTAAGCTGCTTTTCACGCAGGAGCACTGATTGCTATCCTGAAGCTGTGATCTGACCTTCCCTTTCAGGCTCAGCAGCAGAGGAAGTGCAAGCAGAGTAAGTTACAGATGCATCTCTCGTGTTTGAATTTGAAGGATAAATCTGACTTGGCAACAGATTTAGGTCATCCAGGCAGGACTGGTTACTGCTTGGCAGGAACCCTCTTTTATTGTGTCTCCCCTGTACAAATTGCAAATATTTGAGGATGTGTTCCAAACTGAATCACTGAAGTGGTGATATTTTAACTGACAAAGAACCACTGCTCCTTAGTAAATCTAGCCACCTGCTGTCACAGGCAGGGTACAGGAACCCTTTCAAGAAAATTATCAAACAACTTCTTAAAAGACCAAAACCAAACACCTATTTGTTTATCCCTTTATCTCTCTGCTCTGTCTTGCTCTGTGAGAAATCTTTCTCAATTTTAGACTTCGTGGCCAGTTAATGTATCTTCGTTCTTTTGCTGGTGTTGTCCATTAATAAAAATTATCTGTTCTTTCTTCTTGGGGCACTTCTTTCAGATCTTTTTGGTAGGATGTGTGTGTTTTTATGGCTAGAACCAGCTCAAAATAAAATCTCTCCTTGTCCTGTATTTTTCAGGTTGAAAGGAGGTTGGTTTGTTCATACCCCTTTTTTTGTAAGGTCAGATGTCACTTTTCTTGGGTATCCTATGGACTCTGGTCCAGGCAGATGCATGCGTGTTTCCTGGGCTCTTAGCTGGTTGGCAGCAAAGCAGCAGTAAGCTGGTATGAAAGCCAGAGCCTTTTAAAATAGGTCTCACAGCACCCCTGATCCTTTTAAAGATTGTATGGGCAGACTGAATTTAGGTCTGTTTGCACCTCGCAGGTAAGAGCACATTAAATAGCACTCTTGTGTCTGAGTCAGTCCTTCTTCAATGTGAATAATTAGAATTTACTCCGCTCTTCTGATGGCCTTTTCCAGCATACTGTACAATAGCATTAATTCTTCCCACTTTGCTGAAATCTTTACTCAATACTTCCCAGGACTGCACTTGCTATTTTCATATTAGCAGCTCATAGCCGTTCTGCATTTGATGAATACACCCCGAATGCCTTCCTCTTTATTTCATCTCCAGCAGCCAAGGAAGGGAATAAATCAGCTCACACAGAGCTCTGTGTAACCAAGTCTAGGCTGCTTTAAGTACCCAAGCTGTCTCACTTAAAGCCAGACAGGGTACCTCTACACTGAGCTGCCCTGTGCCGCTGAATGTCTCTAAAGCAGCGGATGTGCTCAGGAGATTCCTAGTGCCATGCCTCAGTCTATTTCCGGACACTACCTCACAGCATAATCTGTTAATCAAACACAAAAGCCTGGCGAGTCATACACAAAAAGCAATTTCCCTGACCAAAGCAGGCTGCAGTCTGTGAAGACCTTTCTTTTTGCCTCTCCAAGCCCTACACTCCCCAGAGGACGTGTCCTTTCCCTGAATCCCCTGCTGAGCCATGTCACAGTCGAGCAGTGCTTAACTCTTCCTTGGCTGGTCTGCCTTTTCAGATAGAGCTTATGTCCTCTGGGCAAGGATCTCAGCTGGGGTATGCTCTCATAGCTTCACTAAACTGAAGAGCATTTATACCAGATGGGGATTCGGCCCTGAGCTTTGAATGCACCTCAGCTGCACAATTTTGCAAGAAAAAACACACCCTGCTAATTATTGTAGAAAATAAGAGATTTTGAGGGTAAAAGAGATAATTATTATCTCAACTTTCTTCCCTTCCCTCTACTCCAAACATACTTGTGGTGCCTTGAGTGTAGTGGATGCTGCCTTCCGGTTGTTAAAGAATCCCATTTCAGTTTGTCCACTCTGCGATGTTCACCTCAGTGTTTGGTTTCCAATTTCCTCTTCTGTAATTGGAAAAATGACACCTTCAGGAGGTGGAGTGTTGTGTATCTGACTTCTAACACCAGAGACAAGTTTTCCTTGATGCCAGGAGATTAGTAGATGTCTTCTCTTGCAATACTCTTACTACAGTTGTGTACTGCATACCACCTCCGGATACGGTTATGCAGCATCAGAGCATTTTGGAAATGTGGATTCTCCTCACGTTTGGTTTCAGACAGGTTTCTTGTGTAAGATTAAGTCTGAATGATTTTTTTTTAAATGCTGTAGCACCTCTGGGCTGCAAAAATGTATCATGGGAATGATAATTTCTTACTGATCCTATTGGTTCTAATAGGTGTAATTTTGCAGGGCATTATTTTTTAGGTGGTGTTTTTTTTCTCCTGCTATAAAGCTGGGCACAGGTTACATAATAGCAAAAAAGATGCTTTCTTAAAATCTACTGATCTATAACTGCTGTAATTCAGCGCACAGCTTGCACATCAGACTAAGGTCTGTGCCATTAGGTCAAGCCTTTTCGGAAATCCACTGATACATTCCCCTTATTTATATTTCATCCAGTAAAATGAATAAGTATTAATAAGCTAATTAGATTTGTAAGTTTTCTTCTGTTCATGCTTTCTATATTGACTTTTAATGTCAATGACTTTTTTTTTATACTTTGAAATTGTTTAAATGCACACAACAGTGTTTCATTTTTGTTTCCTAAAAATCCCCTTTTCTGCTCTTTTATGTGATTATCTCAGTATGAGAAGTTTTCAGTCCTTCAGGCTTAAAGTTGGGTTTTAAAGCAAAGGAACATAAAGAAATCTCAATTTTTTTACTATAAGCATGTCCATTTATAATAAATTCCACAATTATAATGTGTAGATTAGGTTCAACATACTGGTTTTATAAATTGACAGGATACCTTGAAAAGCAATCCATCAGACTTTGAAGGTAAACAGACAGAAGACTCCTGTGCCAAATTCGGTATTAGGAGACATGCTTAATTTCCACAGAATGCTTTAATCCAACTTATAAATTTCTTTGAGAACTCACTGTGTGGAGTTCTGCATGACAAGCAGTGTATAAAATACCTCTATTTTAAAGGAGATTAATTCCATTCTAAAGGAATATGTTGTAACCATGTCTGTCCCTACAGTGAAGCAACTGATCAGTTTTTTTCAGAGACTGGTAAGTCCTGTTAAAAGTAAAATTAATTGCCTAAGTGAGTATTATTTTTTGCCACTTATTAATTTTCTCTGGCTCAGGAAGCAAGGATCTAGTCTGTACTTAAATGTAGAAATTTGCCTTGTATATGAAAAATTAGATGTGTGAAGAGTTTTGTTTTCATTTTTCAAACCATGCCTATCTAATAAGACACCCTGTCTGAAGGCTTTAGAGTTCATACGTTATGACTGATCTCGTGGTGCCTGCTTCCGTATCCATGTGGTTTCCACGGTGAAAGCTGATAGCGGGGATGATGTGGGTTTGTCTGGGCAGGGAGGAGATGAAAATCTCTCTTGTTTCTCTCTACCACAAAGCAAGTTTTAGTAGGGGAATGGCTTTGGAATCCAAGACATGGCTCGTATGCCCCCTGTGACCCAAGGGTGCTCACTGGTCAGAGTGTGCGGTGGGACAGGAGCTGGCATGGGTACCTTGCCTGCCCCTCCTGAGCCCTGGGGAGAGGACGTTCTTCCTTTCAGCTGCAAAACCCTTTGTGCATTCTTCATTTGTGAATATGGACATTCTGGTCACTGGGGCCTCACACACTTGCATTTAAAATGTGTAGCCCCCTGAACACTAGCTGCTAATCCAGAGGTAGCTAGATGACTCGAGGGATTAGAAAGGAGGCTTAGGAGTGACTTGCGTAGCCACAGTGCTTGTTTTGGAGCTTAGTCAGATTCCACACAAATTAGTGAAGTGTTTGAGTTCATGGGTTGAGGTCAATTACTGTATTTTGGTGGGGAAAGCATGAGAGGTCCAGTATCAGCCTTTATTCCAAGATTTCTGAAATACAAATACTAAGAATACTTTGCACAAAAATAAGTAAGAGTCAATGTCAAATGCAGAGCTTTAGAAAGCTGTAGAAGAATGTTTTGTGGAATTGCCTCAAAATACTTCAGTGATGCTGTTCATTCTATTATAAAATTACTGGTCATATGAGTCAGTTTTAGGTTTTAAGTGTCTTCAGAAAGCTGGAAAGTATCCTGATGTGGGATTTTAGATAAGCTTATATATATGGGGGAGGGAGGGGTGTACTAACAAGTTTGAGTGAGGAGGAAAATAGGTTATGCACATCCTGGGTTTTTTGTGCATTTCTCCTATTCATGCAGATCAATAGGAGTTTGTTAACAGTCATTTCTTGCTTCTGGGGATATCCATGTAACTCTGCTACCTCCAGTGGAGTAATGTGGTTATAAGAGGCAGGATATGACTACCAAAAGTCTGTCCTCCATTTGTTAGTGTGTTAAGCATAAAACAAAACGCAGGGTTGTAAAAAGATTTCCTATTAGGATCTTTTTTCAAATGTAGATGGCTTGGTGTTTATGCTGTGCTTCCCTTCTTCTCTCAGCCTCATGAAATTAGAGGTTAAAACTTAGAGAATTTAAGGCTTCTGGGACCTTGAAGTACAGACATTTGCATGCACAAACACCTCAAGTCATACATAACACTGACACAGCATCTGATTGCCTCCACCGTGTTCCTGCCCCCAGACATGGGAGGGGTGTACTAGGAGAATGATTTTCCTATTCAGCTCTAGGCCATTTTATCCGTTGCCCCGATCAGTTCTGAAGTTGGGGCGTGGGCCTAAGCAGTGCTGTTAGTGACTATTAGCTATTCCTGCATTTTGAATAATCAGTAATAGTTATTGTTACTGTAAATTAATGCTGTTTCCCTTAAATTACACCGCCTTTGTTAAAAGATCAAAAAGAACTCTTTTCCAATATGATTTGTGATACATTAAATTACTTTTATCCCTGCAATTGCCTTGTCTTCAGGATGTCCTTTTGATTTAAGTGTATTTTTTTCCTGTGGCCAAACTGCATTGCACTGGCAAGAAATCAGTTTGAGAAGTCCTTGCACATGTTTGCTCTTGGATTTTGCTGTGTCATGAGTGAATTGGCAGCTGCAAAGTCTGTCAACCAGTTTCCACATTGGTGAACTAACATAATAATGTGTTTGCAGGGTCAAGCTGTTGCTCAGCTCTGTTCAACTATTCCCAATGTTACTGTTTTTGGAACAGCTTCATCTTTCAAACATGAAGCAATCAAAGACTCAGTAACTCACCTGATTGACAGAAACGCAGACTATGTTCAAGAAGTAAAAAGGTAATCTTTTATTTTCCTGAGTAAGGATTGTATAGCATCTGGCAAAATCCTATGAAAGACACCAGGCTGATCATATTTATGGGAAGACATTACATCTGTGAGTTTGGGAACTGCAGTTTATTCCAGATATTCCACCTGTCCACTACAAAGGACAAGATGGAAAGCATTCCCCTATTTCTGTAGAAGCAACATAAGCATTGTTAGCCCATGTTCATACTATGTGTACAAAGTAAATTTTAAAAGTAAAAAAAATAAAAGTAGTAAATGAATAGAAGTCTTAACAGAAGAATGTACTTTGCTATTACCTGCATATGTAGGAGTTCACTGTAATGCACTAAGATATTTGTGGTGGATCTGTAAGTTACCCAGGTTTTGGAGTTCTTTGATGATCATCTATCTGCCTGGGTTTTTATCCTCTGCCAGGGATTGATATCGGAGCACGTGATGTCTGTTTTAATTTCAGATCCTTAGAATTTGTTTATTTGCCTTCAGATTAGAATCATCCTATTGCCTTTTGAAGTCATCATGTGTGTTTCTATTTACATGATTTCAAATAGTTTTCCAATTTGTCTGTGTTTAGATATTGATGTTGATACAGGTAGAAAAACTTCAGAATTGGTAAGAATATCTTAGTAAAAACTGTTTTTTATTTTACTCATCAGAAAGATAAGGGTGATGTTTTCCCTTCATCTTTTATCTGTCCAAATACTAGATTATGTAGCTGAGCATAAAACAAATTTCTTGAAGGGGCATGCCTAGGTAGTATACTGGGCAGGCTTCGTGTCAAACTTAGGCGTTCCTCAGAGTGACATGCAGAGTCCCAGAAGGTCTCTCAGTATGAAGGGTGCTACCCTTCAAAGAGGGCCTTCAGACTATAGCAGACCTTTGTCTGAACTGTTAGCAATCCACACTGGTGGTGGAGGAGAACGCAGGGTGTCTTGCCACTGTTCCTGGAGCACTCGCAGGGACTCAAGAGAACATTTGAAATCATACATCACAAAGGACATTTTACATCAAAGGAAAATTTTTCTATGTGGGAAGTTTTGCCAAAAAAAGATAGGACTTGGCCAGCAGATGACAGCCCAGCCATTTTCTTACAGCTCAGAAGAATGGCAGCACATTTATTCAGCCCCTTTGATAGCCTTTCTTTTGGGGAAGTACACATACTTAAGTGTTCTGCTGCCCCTGGAAGATTGCTGTTGTGAGATGAAGACTGATTTCCAACAATCCCTGCTTTAAAAACATTGATTCGGCAAGAAAGAACACTTGAAAACATTTATCAGAGTTCAGCACCAGCCTTAATCCTAACTCTTGGCAGGAGCAGCAGATGAACTGATCTTCTGGGTGTGTGAAGTGGGAGCAGATACAACAGAAATCAGTGCTTAAAGAAAGGAATAAAGCCTTTTTAAGTTCCAATAATGTTATGATTGCAGATAGCATTGGCTGCTTCTGCCCTTCATCATGGCAGTTCTTCTCGGACAAGATGATTTCCCACTGTTATAAGCTGGAAAGGCTTGGGTTGGCTGCCCCTACCTTTCACACCCCAGCTCTGAACGAGACTGAATTCCCTTCTGATGAGGAGACGGGTTTTGTGTAGTCGAAGCCTCAGGCTTAGAGTCCTTTCTAAAGTACCTGGAAAATGTTAGTATTAAGTTAACAGTCGGCCTGTATCATGCTGGGTGACCAGTCCTGTGGATCCTATTGCAAAGTAAGACTTTTTTCCTGCTTTTTAGAATCTCAACAGATGGAGTAGATATTGTTTTGGACTGCCTGTGTGGAGAAAATACTGGGAAAGGCCTCAGTCTTCTCAAACCACTTGGGACTTACATTTTATATGGTAAGTGGAAAAAGCCAGGTAATATTGCAAAACTAAAGCTTTGCGAAACTTAAAATCTGTATTGCAGTGGCATCATGGATAAGCATACCTGCTTCCTGGGGCTTTCATCTAGCTATCAGGGTGGCAAAATAACGAACGTATTGTCACCCTGATACCTGCTTGGACTCTATGAGCCAACTAGGTTGCCTGTTTCTAGTGAAGTCTCTGCCAGTGAATTGTCTTTGGTTTTTAACAGGTTGTAGTGTACAGTGCACATATGTTCACACATGTAGTGGTCAGATACATTTACCGAGGCGAAGAGCTCCTGAGTGGAG